GATGATGATGATGATGATGATGATGATGATGATGATGATGATGATGATGATGATGGTTCAGTTGCAAGCCTTGTCCAAAAATAGTGATTTGCTTGTTTGTTTACTCACTGTTACAGGTAATAGGACAGACCCCAACAATAATGTTCAAGAAATATAGCCTTTGACAAAGAGTACATGTCCGAAGAATTCTCATCTGTGTGTATTCTCCGCGCCTGCAAATTGGATCAATTCGGACGCTCCAATTACACTGTCGGTATCTCTCTGACCCATGTCATCCCAGTGATGCACTCTAAAACACACAATCTTCCTTCCAACAGGCACAAACATAAAACAAACAAGCATCGGCCATGGCCGGTCTCTTCACCAACAAACCAAAACAGAAAAGCCCTACCAGTCTTGGCCCGAAAAAATAAAAACAGGGCCCGGTTTGTCTCAGGCTCGCCAGCGCCAGGGATTGCAAGGTCGGCACCGACTTGGAGCTCTTGTCCCACGACTGAGGGAGCCCAGCGAGGAGCGCCCCCGCCCCCGAGCGACCGGCATGGGGAGCGACCGGCTTCTCTCGGCCCTCTCTCTCTTTCTCTCTCTCTCTCTCGGGTTGAGGGTTTCGGTGGCACAGTTGGGACATACAAATCTGGACGTCCACATGTGTTGATGTGATGAAAGGCATCTCATATGACACCAACAAAAAATCATCCGAACAACTCCCAAAGTCTACTGACTCTGATATTACGTGTCCAAAAACAACACTGATGCAAATGACATGGGATCCTCCTGAGCAGCCCTGAACTTCCACACTCTCAGCTGGTGACGTCTACCAGCTGCCGACGTACGGTGGGCTCCTCTGGCGAGTTCAGTGGCGTCTCTTCATTCGCCCGAGCGAGCTGGACGGGAGTGACACTTTGGAAGGGAGTCGGTCATAGACCAGATTGGAATACGTTTGATCCGCAACACGTGGTCAAACACGGTCAAACCATGAGACTCCAGTGAAAGCGTTCAATGCGATATCCAGCGAAATTCCAGTGAAGGTCCTGTTCATCTCCTCAAATGTTTGAGGTTGCGCAGCACAGCCGTGCGAGGGTTGCCGAAATGTTGGGGGGGCTGTCCCTGCCTTCTGATGATGTGAAACAGAAACCCTGTTTGTGTATACTTAATGGGTGTCTCCCATTCCCTGCAACAGTGAATGATGATGGTTATAGTAAAGGACGTTCTCTAAAATCGTGATCATCTTTGATTGACTGTCACAGGTCATGGGACACACAGGTCATGTATACCAAGGGGCCCGAACCAGACCATGAAAAACCAAGGTGTTCACAAGGTTTCACATACAAAAACCAGGTCTTTTGCTAGGGAAAAAACAGGTTTTTGCTGGGCCATGTGGGGTGTGTCTGGTACCTTCAACCGATGCCCAAAGGTGATGGTCTCCTCCAAGAGGCAATGCGGCTCGGGCGCATGGGGGCGAGGCATGGCGGCATGGCTTTGAGCTGGGAGAAGAGCGGAGGAACGCACCATTCCGCTCTCCAGAGGGTCAATCAAAATCCCACGCCATAGACCCCAAACGTCCGACTTGATGTGAAACCACACCTATAGGAGTCATTTTGGTCCACCACTACACCGGGTATAGTCAAGAGTCAGTCAATGAGTCAATATGAGTCATAACTCTCACCGTCGGTGCCCCGAAAACGGTCGCCGAAAACACCGAGCAAGGTCCCCGAGTCAGTCACTTCAAACGGAGCGAGCGACAGAACGATGGGATCAACGAGCTAGAACGATGGGATCAACGTTGTCCTTGATGTTGTTTCTACCAGGACCATCCTGTCTGGGTGTCCTGGACTACCCTACCCTACCTATCTAGGTCTCTAGACAACCGTTCGTCTGACCCTTCTTTCTACAGTCGACTGGACTCCCAGGGTAGAGTCAAGAGGCTTCACAACAGAAACACCAAAAAACCGGTCAGATGTATTTTGGGGGGAAGCAGCCTCCAATTCCCTCAAGACTCCCTGAATCGTTCTTCGGCAGCATTTAGAAGCACAATGACCACGGTTGATGCAACACTGTCTCGGTCCCCCTTCACCATCGACCCGAGCCAACCCCTCACCAACGTGGCCAACATCTGCCCCATCTGCCCCAACTCATCGGCACATCCTCACGTCGGTGTCATGAAGGCGCCTCCATACCATGCCTGCACCGAGTCGTGGTCGGGTTCGAACTCGGGGCGGATGACCTGTCGTGTCTGGTCCGCCGCAAGGCCCCACACGGCACGCTCTCCCCAACGGATTTCGGGGAACCTGCGGCGACGCGGAGGCGAGGTTCGTTCGGACCCACTGGAGGCCCCTCCCCGCCGCCCGGCCGGTCTAAACTCAATCCGAAGACCTGTCCCAGCAGGGTGAACTCACTCACTCCACGTCACGATTCGTTCCACCACTACGTGCGTCTCGCGACGCCCGGATGCGTTCACGCCCGGATTCGTGGACCGTGAGGAACAAAGACCTTCTCTTTTCAGTGAGTCCACTCGCCAAGTCCCGATGTTCTCCACGGATGCGACCTTCCACTTACCCCGCTCGGGTTTTGGAGTGGAGCACTCATGTGCTTGAAAGTCGCCCGAAAGAGAGCACCATGGAACTCCAAGGCTCAAAAGCACTGGACCGGTCAATATATCCTTTTTTCGGAAGATCTATCTCAGCTAGACCGCCAGAACTGCAGAAGCTGCCATCCCAAGCTATCTAGTAGATAGAATCAGTGTGGACTCCTAAGGGAAGAAAGCGTACCCTCTTTGCCTACATTCACCCACATATGTTCAGAACGCAGGTCACCCAGGTCCCCCTGTCCTTCCAGGCCCCAAGCCTTTCACAACTACACGACACCCTCCGCCCGGCACCGATCCACCCGCTCCCCGGGTTCCATCTGTTCCGCCCGTACCGCCGCCGGACCGGCTCCTTTTTTCGTCCTCGGCCTGGCGTGAAGCGGACGCGTGAAGCGGACGCGTTCGGTCCGCTCAAATAGGAAGAGCCCCCGTCTAGACCCCCTGCCAAAAGGAACATAGACCACAAGTAACCCATTGCGGGGGTGGTCTCTGGTCCCTCTCAAAACTACCAACCCGCTCAAGCCACTCCCCTTCAACGCCCGAAGATGAAGGGCTCAATGGAATTCCGGCGGCCATCGCATGGTTTCGATGGCCAACGGACGCACGGAGGACGCGACGGTGGTCACGGTGATCGGGATGCACCGACGGCGACACCGTGACCTGAGTCTCTCCTTCCAATTTGAAGCATGCAACTGGCCCGGGCAGGAACCCGTGTTTTGCTGGAATTGGAAGAAAACAAGTTAAAAGCAATGAGAAAACAAAAGTCAAAGAATGAACCATGTCATACACGATCACATGAATCACATCAGTTCTTGTTTGGCTCTTCAGGGTCCCCTTCCACGGAAACCTCGATGTTTTGGCTTCTCAACATGCTCAAGGAATGAGGGGATGATCATGCGGACGTATAGATTGCCGCGAGATGCGGCGAGCCTCCGACCGCAGTGCAAGGTGCATCTCATCTACATCCGCAATGAGAAGATGCTTCTCAATCTTCAGCTTCATGCGTTCGGCGTCGATCTTTCCTGGGGTCGGTGTCGATCACATCCTTGATTGATGGAGAGATGATTCTCATGACCAAAGTCGCTCTGAAGTCCTGGTCGCCCTGGATGGCGCATCCATGCCTTGAATTGAACAAATACGCTAAGGATCACTTGCGGCCCTTGCTGACGTCCAGGTCGTTCAGAACGGCATCTGAACCTTCGAAACTTCACAAAACATGGACTCTGTGGACGCCGCGAAACCATCGGGGGCTTTCGCGGAGACCGTGGCACTCGGTGCGGATGTGGCCTCTCCTGGAAGCTCATCTCGTACCAACTGGTGATGAAGACGAAGCCGCGCGACGCAGCCGCCAGACGTCCAAACTTGCGACACTTGGCCAGGATCAATGGTCCAGGCTTGGAGCTCAACAAACTGCGGATGTCGGTGTTCGTGTGATTCGAAGCTTGCCTGCGGCAGCACATAGTCACTTAGTCCTACTTGTCCTACTTCTACTTGCTGACCGAAGGAAGACGGCGGCGGTCCTTGCGCTGCAGTTCTTCGTCTCGGGGTCTCGGGGTCTCGGGGTTGTCTAGGACCGATTCGGTCATCCACTGGAAAACCAGCACTGTCTCAGACGTCTCAGACCGACCTGAACAGTCGTCCAACTGGATTTCGGTGGATGTAACTCATCCCATGTCCACTCCGACCCCACCGGCCCCATGTCCACCGGCCTCAGCGAGCCACGAGTTCATTGTGTGAGGAAGCTGCGAGGACTGCCTGGGGGTGCACAGCAAACACAGTAGATGTGACTTTAACTAAATGCGAAAGGAGAAAAGGATGAATTAGCCCAGCTGGAGACCCCAATAGCAAGATACAAACCGGGACAAAAAGAAAAATCTGGAAACAGCTGCTGTTTTCAACACATCGACCATCTCTTCCTTGGACACCATCATCACATAACCGGGACACCGTCACAACATGAGCGAGACACCATCACAACATGACTGGGACACCGTCACAACATGACTGGGACACAATCACAACATGACCGGGACACCATCACAAGGTGACCGGGACACCAACATGACATGACGGGAAAACCATCACAAGATGACCAGGACACCATCACAACATGACCGGGACACCGTCACATGACCCGGACACCATCAAAACATAACCGGCACACCGCCAAGACATGACCAGGACACCATCACAACAGGACCGGGACACCATCAAAACATGACCGGGACACCGTCACAACACGACCGGGACACCATCAAAACATGACCGGGACACCATCACAACATGATTGGGTCACAATCAAAACATGATCGGGACACCGGGACACCAGCATCACATGACCCGGACGCCATCAAAACATGACCGGGACACCATCCGCCCACCAGCTCTGACGGTGACCCGACGGCGCCCGTCCGCCTATTAGTTTTGCAAGACCCCATAGCATGGCTATTGGGGAAAAAGAACCTAGCGACCTAGCGGGTGGAGCATGACACACTGGAAAGGTCCATGAAAACAGGTCAGCTGATCTCAATCTATTTGCAGCATTAGCAAGTCCGGGTGATTAGGGCTAGGGGACGCGAAAAAAATTCAACCACTGCGACACCGTGAAAACACTGTGAAGACGAGTCCACCGTGCATGCAGGTTGCATCAGGTTGCGGTTTGATACAACAACCAAGCAACAGTGACAATTTGTTTAGGATCGGGGGCACTTCAAGAAGCTGTGTGGCCAAAAACATGTTCAAACAAAACACATGTAGATATAGACGAAAACCACGTCATGCCATTCAAGAAAAATATGTGTACTCTCGGTACGAGACGCCTACTGCACCTACATGACGCCGGCCGATCGGTGCGTGCGTGAGAACGAGGTAAGACCACCGTGGGCGATGAGTCGACCACCGTGCGCGGTCCGGACTGGACCGGGCTGGACCGGGGAGAGAGATCCGGGAAACACCAACCGTCTAGCCTGTTGGATGGTTCGATTTCGACCAGCTTGGACCGAAGGCCGAAGGCTTTCTGTCGCCGACATGGACATCTGTGTGTGTCGCTGGTCCCTCAGATCTGGTCTCTCTGGGCTTGTTCTGTGTTCCCTTCAGAGTCGTCTGTGTTTCGGTCGCAGGTCTTGCGTTCGCTCCATGGCCTCTAACTCGCTCCATCCTCAGCTGTTTGTTACCCCAGTTCGGGTGACCAACCTCTTCGGGATTCTTTCGTCGTGTCCGCAGAGTCGGTCGACGACTGGCCCCCAGTCGGTCGACGGAGCGGCTCCAGCTGAGCACCGCACCGCACCGGTCCCTCTGACGACCAACGGGTCGACCGAGGAGTCCCCGTGATCCGACGTGACTCGGAAAGTTCTGTTGTTTGGGTGCAGACAAAAATCGCCGATGGGACGTTTTTAGGCACCATTTCTTTTAATGAAACAGTGTTACTAGATGTTACTAGTAGCTTCTATAGCTACTATAGTAGCAGTGATGCACTTCTTCCTAGTTTTTGGTGTTTCATGACGTCCTTCCCAAGATTCCCAACCCGAACCGACTCCAACCCCAACACCTCGCTACTGATGATCATCAAGCTGAAGGTGACCACACCTTAAGCACGGTCCAACCGTTGGGACGCGCCATGGTTTGCGTGTCGTTTCTTGGGAGTTCCTGGCTGCCCGGTGAATTCGAAGGGGAGCAGAGAATGTCCGACGTCGCCCACCAGCCGACTTCGAGAGCCAACCAAGCAGGGAACTTGGCCCGCTCCCACCCAATCCCCCGAGCTCTGCGCGAGCGCCAGCTCGCTCGGTTCGGTCGGCCCCGAGCCCGTCGAGGCCAACAGCGGGCCGCTCGCACGGAGGCGAACCGACGGTTCGAGGGACGGAGGTTGGAGAGAACGAACATACCCGACAGGTGGCGTTTTGGGGGGAGGTCTGGCTTCAGGATGCTCCAG